ATAATATGATATTTATATCAAACTATTCTGTGACAATTTTTAAAAATATATTATGACATTGATTATACTATAATATGATATTTTCATCAAACTATTTTATGAATTTTTTTTCTTATTTTATTTTTATCATACTATACTATGACAATTTTACTGAACTTTTCTATGACATTTTTATTAGACTGAACTGTGGCTTTTTTCTGAAAATTTACCTTTTATCAAACCTTATTTTAATCATACTATTCTATGACATTTCATCTTACTATACCATATTTTTTCTCATACTTAACTTTGATATTTTTACATACTATACTGAAATATTTTTTAAAGCTTTAATATGATATTTTTATCATACTATACTATGACATGAACTGAACTTTTCTATGACATTTTTATCAGACTGAACTGTGGCTTTTTTCTGAAAATTGACATTTTTTCAGACGATACAATAACTTTTTTATCATACTTTACTATGACATTTTTATCATACTATATGATGATTTTTTTTAATCAAACTATACTATGAGGTTTTTCTCATTATATACTTTGATATTTTATCACACTAAACTATGATATTTTGATCAAACTATACTGTGACATTTTTATTACACTATACCATTTATTTTTTTATTATCCTATACTATGACATTTTTATCATAGTAGCATATCTTTTATCATGTTAAGACCCCCAGTGTTTCCTCTGATGGAGCCCTCAGCAATGGGAATGGTGGTCAGCTGTGGTCACAGGGGCCAGTCTTACGGGGTTCCTGGTGGACGTTGGCGCCTGGCACATCTCTCCCCTGGTCCTGTGTCGGTGTCCTGTGGCTGTGGGTGGCTCGGTACTGATGGCGCTTTCTCATCTGTTCATCTGTTCTCAGAATTTTTGTTTTTTATAATGTACAAAATCTGACTCTCTCACTTTAGAACACAGACCCTGGGTATCTTTCAGGGTCATGGTTTTGAAAACAAGACTGGTTTCTGTATTTCTCATCCTGCTTATGAAGAAAATATACAAGAAGAAAATCTGACAATGCAGAGGAAAAGAAACATCTTTTGACCTCGGCTGCACTTGTGTGCTTGATTTTTCACTGTTTTTCAGAGAGAAATAAGAAACACTCATGCTGATACGCCTCAACACTCAAAACATCCAAATCCTGGACCCCTCTCTCACTGAGGCTGGCCCACACAAACAGACGAACAAACACCACTGAGCCTGTTTTTGGTACCTGGAGTAAACATGTAATACTAATGATAATAACAGGGATTTCTAGGTGTGAAGAAATGTTTGGAAAAAAGGAAATATGACACAGCAAGAAGCACAAACAGGCATTAAGTTACATTTCTTGTTGAACAGAAAAGTCCAGAAATGGTCGTCTTACGTTGTGAAACTCATTCGATCGACATGTTTGGCTATGAAAAGTTGAATAACTTCTGCAAAGGGCTGGACTTTGATTGATGGTTATTCAATTTCAATCACGATTACAGCTCTTCACGATGATAATCAAGATTAAACTATAACTCTACCTGATTAAGCATTCGTCAACACCCCCAGATTAGCTTATCTGGTCTAAATAGTATAGCTATAGTAAAAGTTAAGCCAAGTCATGGTAATTAAATCAGTGATCTAGACAGTTGTCTATGAAAATGAAACAACCTTGAATGTTTCTAAAGAGAGCGTCCATGTTTAAAAGCACCTTAATATATTAGATGATACTGGGTTGCTCAGGCCGTATACAAAGACTATGAAGCAACGGTTCAGTTTGATTTTTGACAAAATGTGACTTTTTATTTAAAATCTTTCATAGCTTATTAAACGAGCCTTTAAATGAGTTTTACTTGTTAAAAAAGTAAGTAGAAAAAACAATTTATTTATCATTTTATCAGATTTTAGGAAAAAAAGAGTCACAAAAGTATGCACAATTTCTAAACGAACTTGATCAGAGCAATAAAATTAAGAAAAAGGACTTGCACGGTTCAGTATTAACATATTTTGTACATCAGCTCTTTCCCTTTGCAGAGGTTTGTCCAAACATATGCGCACACGCTGCTCAGTCTTCATAACAGGTTTCAAACTGGAGGGTTGCAATTTATCATTATCTCGACATTAGAGCAGATCTGTCAGTTTCTACAAATTCACAGGCTGCCTCAGCAGATGTCTATCAATATAACGACTCTCATGACCCTGGGAAAGTTCAGGCTTAGTACGCCTCCCACATCCACGGAACAAATTACACCCTGCGTGAATTAATTCAACTCCATTAAAAACCTTCATCGACATCTGCCGCTGCAGCGATGCTCGGCCCTGCTTGTCTTGGCCTTTCTCCAGCCGGACGCCTCTTCAATTTAACTCCAATTTGGAGTTGGTGGATGTCGGCTGACAGTTTGAAACTTCTCGGTGGGATGCTGACGCGCGTCTTCGCTCCTGCTAAAGGAAAGTCATTCTCTCATCCGGACAGCGTTGCAAATTGCGTAAAAAGCCCGTCCGATCAAGATAATGGCTTGTGAAGGAATGAGATTAGCTCCCTTTGTGAGAAATCTGATTGTGTGGATGGGACATTGGCATAACAAGTGTGACCTTGTTGCAGGGGCCAGCTGAGAAAGTAATTAGGCCTCACATATGGGCGGTATTACTGATGCCTTCAGCGATGGCAGTGAAGAGAGCAGCGATGTCAGAGCTGCTTACTGTCACAGGTGAGGCTGTCAGTGTCGGCTGAGGAGAGGAAACCTGCTTACTACTGGGGGCAGATTTACAATAAAGACAACTATTGAATAAAAAGTGAAAACTTAAAAAGTACTGAGACACTTTCAATGAATATTTTTGGTGTTTTTCAATCTGATGATAAAAGATTGTGTAGTTGCAGGAGCCTCAGGGTGGAAGTTTGACTGCTGATTTAACTCTTGGCAGGTTTTTTGGTCAAACTTGTAACTGCAGACGGTTTAACAAAGACAGTAGACTAACTATACCAGGACATTTTATCCAAGAACACAACAAATACAGATTTAAAGATCTAGTAAAAGAACATTTATTAGTCAAACAGCTCCTTCTTTAGATGAAGCTACTTTGCAGAATCAATCAGTGTTTGTCTGATTTACTTGATATATATAAAGTCTGCTTATGTATTGGGTATTGTTTCTGTAAATCAATTCAGTTATGTGGAACGTATGTCAATACTTGAACATCTGAGTGTTCTAGTGTTGTTGTTTTGTTCGTGTCTTGTAGGCTGTTGTGGGTTGTTGTGGTTATTGATGATTTTTTGTGTCTTTGCGCTGCATTGAGATCTAATTGTAAACGAATAGCAATGGCCTGAAATGAAATGAAAACCCTTTAAGACTATTCCCAACATACAGACCTGTTCAAAGCCCCTAAAGAGGTCCGGGTTGTAGAGCTTTCTCCTCAAGGAGGCATTAGTGGAACTGCAGTTCTGCTCTGGCTTCATTTCTCAAGACTTGATTTTCGCAGCTTGATAGGGAGTCAGTTCTGCACCAACCAGGCAGCTGAAACCTCAGAGTGTGTTTCACATGTATGGAAAAACAGCTGCTTGAAACTCATCATACTGTGAACTGTTGACTGGTTCTGACTAAAAGGACTCGAACACGTGCCGGGTCCTTTACTCTGTACTCATGGGCTCAATGACTTTGAGGCGCAGAGTCACTTGTTAAGTGCATGAGCTCTCAGATGTGGACTTTACAACCCTGAATTATGCACCTTCTGAGTCACAGGGACTTTATTGTTGGGCCTTCAAAAGCTCCTGCAAACTCTGTGTGCAGCTTACAGAAAAGAATCGGCGAGCCCTTTATTTTTTAGATTTTTCCAGCACGTGACATGGATGTTAGATGAGCCGTTTGTGCTGACGGTGAGAGGAAGTTTTCCATAATTTTCTCCCACCACTCGTTCTGGAACCTCGATCTGTAAACAGTCCACTTGGAAGACCAGCATCTCTAAACAGAGCTATGAAGCCAAGTGGAAGAATCCAGATCCAGCTCTGGTTGGATCTCACAGCTCATTAAACGAGTGAATTGTCTATAGCGTGTGCTTTAACAGAGATTTTCTACATACTGATATTACTGCTGATGAGGAGCCAACAAGGAGGCAGCACCAGACTGACTCTGAGTCTGAAACTGCCTCCTCTCTGAATATCAGGGCAGAGATTTGCTCACACAGAGCTCGATATGATACACTCATTTTGGCATCTGAGATGTAAAGCACATAAAGCAGTGATCAGATACTATTCTCCCGAGAGCAGATAGACGGTATCTGTAATCTACCAGCCTGGACGACCAGCTGGATGAACGCTTCATGTTTTCACTTCATATTTGTCATTATGAGAACTGTGCCCGGCTGAGGTGCACAGAGAGCTAAATAACAGGCCTTTCAGACCACCCTGCTCCATCTCTCTACCTCAAGGGCCTCAAATTGATAGTAAACAAGGCCGCTGATGTATCTGTGATCTCATCCTTCCTACCCGAGAAACAAGCTGGAAGAAGGATGGACTTTTATGTGACAAAGAAACCAACAAGCCTCATTACAGCTCCGCCGGCGCTCCTCCAGAGACGCTCGGCTCTCGTCTGTATCTGTTTAAAAGCGCTGACAAAACACATGTTCACATGAACACACATGCAAACATGACTCTGCGGCAAACACGCCACGCATGTACGCCTCACTTTTCTGCAGAGGCACATGGAGCGAGGCTGATTCCTGCAGACAGATCCCCCCGCTCTGTGCCGTGCCCTGACATTGTAAACAGGCTCCGTGAAGAAGACGAGCAGCAGTAATTGTTGCGCAGGATGGAGGGACGAGCAGCCTGTCTTCCACTGGCTGATTGTGCCTTTTCCTGCCTGTGATAATTAAAATGAGTCAACCTCCCCCTGCTCCAGTCACTGTGGTGGCACCGCTGAGGCAGTGGCAGAACTGTTATTGCTTGTCCTTCAGCTGAAAGGATCATGTTGGCCGGAGAGCTGAAGGCTTTTGTTCTGAAAGCTGAAAAATCTGGTGTCCAGCTTGGGTGGTTTTTAGCAAAGCGCCCTGGGAAATGAGTTATCTAAGCGGCGCATGCAAGAAAAGCCTGACATTAATCTTTAATTAAGGCCTTTACAATTTCGGACGACATGCCCGGGAGTCTGGGAGATACTGCAGGGGATAGATATGAAGAGTGGGCAGCGAGGAGGTTCCAGGCAACATATTATATCTCGTGCTGAGCTCATTTTGTCTCATCAAAGTCAAGGATCCGATGATCCGCCGAGACGTTGCCTCGCTTCTTTCGCTCAGTTGTTCGAATCACGAGACGCCCTTTAAGGTAAGCTTGGCATTGAGACTGAGCTTTTTCTTCTTCTTTTTTTAGAAGAACCGATCTCCAGAGGTAGCATTAGTGAATACGATGTGGAGTGCGGCGGCTTTGTCTCCTCACAGAGATTTAAATTGCCAAACAATCCACGTCTCTTGATGAGTGTCTGTCTTCTCATCTCTGTCTGTGGGAACATATCAAGGTGACTCCACACATTGTTTTTCCTTTCTGTTTTTTCAGTAATTGGTTGTGTATCTCTTGTTGAAAGAGCCAAGTGATAAACCCGCTGGTAGATGCAGCACGCCACTGAAGCTTTCCTCCTTGTTTTGTGACAGCTGCCGCCTTTGTGATGTTCCACAAACCCGCCACCCCACAGGACACAACCTGTTTCATTCCGGCTGGAGACTTTCGCATGAAAAGGACGAGTCTCCCGTGAAACAAAGCTGGACTTTTTTTTGTAATTGTTTTGATTGCTCTTCATCCTCCGTCCCTGAAGGATGAAGGCATCACAAAACTGAAAGAGGAGGTTTTGAGGAAGAGGAAGGGACCGAGGAATAGTGGCGGCGTATCTCCCCGCGGCGAGATTTGTTCATTGGCAACAATGAGAGACAGATGGGAGGATGCTGGTGCTAGCGGGAGGAGGAGGGGGTGACGGTGGGTTCGCACCTTTGTGAGGAAAAGCAATTGGGAGCGATTAAACCCTCATTCGCTGTGGGGACGATCCACTCGGTGGAAGGAGCGGGCTCCAGCAGCGCCTGCAGCAGTGTTCCTTTTATCTCCACTCCTCATGAAGACCCTGTAAATGCCATGGGAGTAGTTAAAGTGAAGCACACTGTGTTCTGCCGGGCTGCTTCACTGTTAATGCTCCACATCATGACAGCAAATGAAAAGAATTTCCCCGCTGTCTGCGCCCTCGCCATGGAGCTTATATGCAAGAGGAGGGCAGCTTAACCTGTGTAATCTGTCTGTTATTTGACTTCAGGGAGGGGGAGTGATGAGGTTTTATTGATACCGATGCGGTCATGGATTCTGATTATCGATCCAGTTCTCTATTGATTCCCACATACATTCCTGTGGATTTTACACAGCAGAAAATAGGAGGCCCTCACAGGTTTTCTTGTCTCACTACAGTTTTATCACCTTCACTGCTCTGCTGAGACGAGGAAACCTTTACAGGCCAGTTTACTGTATCTCAACACCAGCATTTATCTGTTAGCTAACAACGGAAATTACACGATTTCACCACAATTAAATCACAACTTCACGTTTAAAGGAGTAGATTGAGGCTGTCTCTTTAGGAATACAGTTTATCACCAGAAAGCTGCCGGTGTAGGTACCAGATGTGTTCGGGCTGCCGTATCGAGGCCCGGCACTTATTGATGACGCTCTAGGATTGGCTGGAAGTTGGTTTGGATGACGTAGGAGATTGCGGTTGGTCTGAACTGTACGTAAGCGTTTTCACCAGATTAAGTTTCATGGGATTGTAGTTCTTCAGAGAAAATATGGACGAATTTTACAAAGAAATCTATCGCTACTTATCAAAGGGGACAACTGGACTACCGCCTCTTTTAGGTCGCCAAAGAAAATGTGGAATAAAAGCAAAACTATCTATTGAGAGATGGAGATCCTGCGTACATTTTTGTCTTTTTCCCTTTGAAAAGTTAACATAAACTATTAAAACCATCTAAAAATTACAGTACAGTAAGTTAAAATTCTCTGTATTATATGGAGAGAAAGTTCCGAGGTCAATTAATTAAACAAACAGAAATAAAGAAAAACGCTAGGGGCTTTTAACTGAACACATTTGACTTATTAAATGGAGTGCAATGTAGTTCGTCTGACTGGACTTGCCGTAGTGTGACGTCTTCAACAGGCGCTGGGCCCCAGGCTGATCTGGCAGCCAGAACACATCTAATACCTACACCGGCCTCACAGAGTGAGTGGATTTTACAGTCGTACGCTACATTTAACTGTTTTAGATTTAAAGATATAATATAGTGAGCATAACAATATCACAACAGGGATTTAAAGAGCTGTTCTCTGATTCGAGATAGGATATTGATCTTAAGGGCTCAAACTAGCTAACTCCAGTTCTCAGTTCTTGTCAGTATTAAAACGTTCTCTGACATCTTTACTTTAATCTAAAAACAATTAAAAAGTTAAAATCAATTAGTAGTTACTGGGTCATCAGGACACACAGCAGTATAGAGCTGTGTGTCATCTGCATAGCTATAGAAGTTGATGCCATGCTCCTGATGAAATGTAGACGTTAAAAAGTGAAGGACCTAAAATCGAACCCTGAGGAACGCCACAGGGTTTCTTCATGTGTCAGCTGAATATCAGTCTCGGAGCTGCAGGTCTGTAAAGGAACAAAAACGGATACAAATAAATGAGAAACCTTGACATACATAGTTCAGCTCGAACCTTCTTCCGCACATGAGCAGATCCCACTTCACACACCTTTGATTTTTCCCCAAATGATGATTGAATACTCGACGTTCACTCACCTGCACACTCAGCCATTTCTCGCCCGTGTTTGGCAGATAAGGATGCATCCATTTCCTCTCCCGTCATGAAAGCGCTTCAACACCCGGCGGCGGCACATGGCTGGCTCAGGCCTCTTGGTATCCACTGTGAACTGGCTGCTCATCAGCCTGAGAGCACCTGAACACCGAGAGGCCCCCCCTCCATCACCGCTAGACACACAATCACAGGTTCCTCACCGGGTTATTACGAGTCATTCATCACAAACGTGTGCTTCACATTTCCCTGCCGTCAGCTGAATACCCTTAAACCCATGTATTTACACGTTTGTCTGCTCATTGCACTTCTTTCAGCATTTCCAACAGACCTTTTATCCCCACACTTCCATTTCCCCCCCATGCGCTGCCTACGCACCTGACTCCTGTGGGCACAAAATGTACCAATCAGAGGCTATTGACAGGCTTTGATGACGCACCAGCGTGTGCTTGGAAATATATTGCGCCTGAACCTTGAGGAGAGAAGCCGGCATTTATAAATCAAGCAGGTCATTGCTGTCGTTCTTTTGATGCCTATGCACGGGGGCCTCTTCCTAATAGATGGATCGTGAATGTGAAACGGAATTTAAATCCCACCGCTGAGACAAATTCCCACAGGCATAAGAGCAGGACAGATCAAAAGGCAAATGAGGAAATCCACACAATCCATATCAGCCCGCTATCATGCAGGGTTTGCCCTCCTGTGTGGAAACGTGCTGCCAGCTCCATGGCAACCACAGCAATTGATTGGTCCACGTCTCCCGCTGTGCACAGTGCAGGTCCTGCTATGTGAGATATTAGTTTTTTTTTAACCTGCTTCCTCGCCCGCCTCGCGGTGTGCATTGGCCGTGGTTTCCAGGTACCCGGCTGTCATGTACGCTTACCTTCACTTTGGTTCTGGATGACTTTGAAGGACAGGAGATGCAGCGAGGCGGGGACGGCTGTGACAAAACGCTGAAGGTCTCTGAAATGGTGTTGGCGCTGTGAAAGCCTGAAGGTGTTACATTGAATATGAGACTCTATTATCAAGAGTCGCCCTCTTCACAGCAGTCCTAAAGCCTTTAATAAATCTGATTCAGTTGGCAGATAATTCTCACAAACTCATGAGTCTTGATTTTCTTCTGTATTCTTTATTTTCTCATCTCACAGCATTTTGTGCCACATGCTCATTGTTAAACACCTAATTAGCAACGGGAATCAAGCATGACACCATGAAGGCCCAATCTGTTCAATTAACAGATTATACGCTTCTCTGCGGATCTTCTTAGTCTGCAGCTTTCATCAAACTCTCTCAGAACAAATGGGAGGTCTTGCCGAGTCAAATGGGTCATTTAAATCTGAAATGTTGAAACTTTATCGCCCAGCACCAATCAGAGAGAAACAGTTTAGAGGGATAAATCTTTGAAGATTAAGAAAAGATGGGAGAAAAGTTTGGATAAAGCTCCTGTGAGGAGATTTTATCTGGTTCTGTATGAGCAAACAAGACGGACGATTTCTTTACAACGTTTGAATAGTAAGTAGCTGCTAAGACTGAACTTTTTTTTAAGTGTATGTCAGGTACTGTTTTGGTGATGCAAGAATCCAGCTTCTGCCTCTGCTTTGCAATCACCACCCCTGCCATGCAGAAGTGCAGTGTCCACCTGCAGGCTCCAACTGGGGGGTTTAAAAACTGTCTCATCATCACTCCTCAATTTCTGCAAGTAACAGAAGAACCGACGTTGGAGCATGGACGCCAAATACAGCATGGTAACTTTGAATCATGGTAAATGGGGCTGTTGAAGTAAACCAGAATTGACAATTACGGCCTTTCTGACCAAATAAAATATCGTTGTACAAATGGTACCATCATGTAACTTTCAGGTTCGCGGTAAAAGGTGGTAGTGTTTTTTTTTATACACTTGTTGACAACGACTTTTAAACTGTAGGAAGTAGGAGAGAAAGAAAACATGTAACCAGCCGGCTATCTTGCCTTTTTTCGCTTCTAACCCACCGCAAAAACATCTCAAAGAAATAAAAGATGAAGGTTGGGTACTACTGTGCTGCCTCAATGGTGAAGTTAAACAGTTTAAAATGTTAAATAAGTTAATAGATTTCAAGGTTTAGAGATTTTAGGCTTTGTTCTTCTCCGAAATCGCATCAGAGTGAGCGCTCTTTTTATTGTGTGCAGCTGTGTAGGTCTCCTCCGTGTTTGCTCGCTCCATATGCTGCAGTTGCTAACATCTGACACATGTTGCTTCTGTGTTGTCTGCTTCTCAGAACACTTCTGCCTCGGAGACTATTTGTTTGTGAGTAAGTTATAAACAATATTGTTACTTTAAGATGGTTTTGATTACGTTATGTGTACTGACTTATTATTTCTCTAATGAATCACTTAAACAAAAATCAAAGGAACTTCTGTAAATGCAAGAAAAGTCGAGCTTTGTGTGGTTATTGGAGGACTCCTGAAATGTTAGCTGGCTGTCCAGCTTTGCAGGGAGATGTGGGCAAAATGTAAATTTAATCATCATCAGAAATGGATGATCCATCATTTGTAATGCATTAACTAAAACTTCACCAAGTTGAACACAAAACTGAAAAAATGATCAACTACTGTAAAAAAAAAAAGAGTAAACTGTTTTATCAGTGCTTTAAGTGGGCAGGTAGGCATCAGCACCCTGTACCATCTCTTCTAGATTTAACCCCCAGTTCATAATAACACACAAAATAAATTACCAAAGGTGCATCCCGTGGCTACATGTCCTTTTGCAGTCTTTTTGTGACTCTCACTTGTTTGGAGATTGACGCCAAATTGACGCAAACTCGCAACTCTCCACAGTGTAAGAAGATCTGAGGAGAAGGAAGACGACAGCGACGGTTAGTGGATACAAATCAAAACCCCACCTTGTGTTTGAGGCTCATCTCACCCTGAAAGATTTCCACCTTACATTCTCACCTTCCTGACTTCTCCAGGGTCTTTAATGGGATCCATTTAGGCCATTACCACTATGAGCCTCTGCGTGAATTTGAA